CACCTCGCTCAGCCAGTGAGCGGTTGGTCTGTATGTGGGATCTGAACCCTCGGCGGGAGCGCCACCGCGCTTCCCAAGCGGCGCACTACAGCAGTGCGCCACCAGGCCGGCCCCGAACCTGTGCTTCAGATGAGGGGTCTGAGTCTCTAGAAGCTCTGCCCTGTGTGGTATTGAAGGGTGTGCGGGTACATAAACCATCCCTCTTCTACAACCAAATCAGGACTTCATCCTTTTTTCTCTTCACCCTTTTCTTGTATCTTAGAAACTTTCAGTGCTCCTCAGCACACACAACGTCCCCCACCTCCCTACCCCACACACCCGTGCCAGGGGAAACTTGCAACCTCATTACCTTTCTGGTGTGGGAACTCCCCCATCCAGTCTTCCACATTTCACGCCCTGGGTGTTGTCAATGACCTAGTCAGGACAGGGCTGAGAAGGGACAGACTCATGGGGGTGGCTCAGGGAAGAGAAGGGAGCTACTTCCCAACTGAATCAAAATCAAGCACTCTCAGTTGGGAAACATGTCCACCAAAGTGCATGTATGAAGTAATTACCCACTGGTTACTGCGTTTTCTCATTCATCAAAAGAAACAAAGATTTATTGAGCCCCTGCTGTATGCATTGCACTCACGGGAACCTCAGAACAGCCCTGGTGCAGAGGAACAGGCTTAAAGGGGTTTTGTCACTTGGTCACACAGTGAGCAAGAGGCAGGCAGAGGTGGGATGTGAACCCAAGCCCACCTGGTTCCAAAACTCAAGAGATAGGTTTTCTAGACATGGAGGTGACAGTAAGAAGGGCTGCAGGAGGGACCCCAGTGCTACTCCAGGCAGGACCTTGGAGTTGAGAGTCACCCCCTAGCTGACTCAACACTGGCAAGTTTGGCTGGGTCATGACCTCTTAGCACAAATCGCCCCTTAGAACCTGGAGGATTTTGAAGTTTAAGGAATATTCTATCCCTCCTGGATCTCTAAGGAGGAAATGTGGGCAGGGGTCAGGGAAGGAGAGAGGAACTTGGTGAGAATAGATGGGGTCTCAGAGAGTAAAAGGGAGCTCAGTGCTTGTGCAGCTCCAAGGGCCAGGGCACACCATAGCATCAGTTTCCTCATCTTTAAGGCGGCAATAAAAAAGTCCGGTGTTGCTAGGGTGTCTCGTGCACAGCTGTCTGCCATATAGTTAACGTGCAAAGGAGGGTAGCCAGCAGGTCCGGAAGTCCAGCCCTGTCTGGGGATGCTGTCTGGGGCTGGGCCCATCTGGGGAAGGGGCGGGCACCTGAGCCATCCAGCCCATGGTGAGAAGTTCTTGAGAGCTTGGAGGTCGGTAGTCATGGGGATGACGTTGACAGTTTCTATGGCAACACCTTGGTGGGGCAGGGATGGTCGACAAGAAAAAGCCTAGGGGGACAGGTGTTCTGGTACCTCAGACAGCAGTGTTTGCTCTCCATGGCAATGGCTGTGTGGTCCAAGCCTGCTTGGGGCAGAGCCTGGAGGGTAGCAAGGAGCTGGAGTGGACCTGGGGAATGGGACAATCTGTTTCCATGGTGAGAGCCAAAGAACCAAATGTTGGGGTCACCCTGAGGACAGTCTTCATGGCAGCTGGTCAGGGTGGGGACAGTCAGAAGTGGGGTTGTAGGTCTCTAGGGTGGGGGTGGGTGTGATGGGAAACTGTGGTATCCATGGTTACAGCTGGGGGAGGGGCACCATCTCCATGGGTGTGACTGATGATGGAAGGGGTGTGTAACTCTACTGTGACAGGTAGCAACTGGACTGGTTGCCTTGGTGACAGTGGGAAGCAGGGCAGCTCGTCTCCATAATGAATGAAATGGATCTTATGGGTCCTTGGCCCCAGGGGGATAGTCTCTTTGGTGACAGCCAGGGCAGGGGCCATCAGTGGGAGGGGGGGCAGATTTGCTCTCCCTCTGGAGAAATACCTGAAGGGTGAGGCATGGCCGCTTGTCATGCAAGCCCACCCTTCTTATCGGTGACAGATGAGGGTGTTCTCCCACAAAACTGGAGGGGTAGGGCTGTTCTTCAGAGTGACCTAGGGAGGTGGCCTTTTACCTTGGAAACTTCAGGGGAATCTCAGGGAGCCAGTGGAGAATAGGGTACCCTGTCTCCAGTTCACTGTGGGGGAGAGGAAGTGCCTGAGCCCACAGCCTCCATGTGACCACGAACCCTGAGCTTTCTGTGTTCTCTCCAGGTGATGGGGATGGGGGTTCGGTGTCCAGGTGACTGCAAGGGACCAGTTTTCAGTCTTCAGAGAATTGCAGAGGGTATGTGGCCAGTGTCTAGATAATCCCGGGGGTCCAGCCTCCAGGCGACCACGGGAGCAGTTCTGTCTATTTCCAGGTGGTCTTGGGAGGCGTGGCCAGTCTTCAGGAGACCTGGAGTCTGTTGGTCTCCTGGGACCCTCAGGAGGCATGGTCCCTCTTCTGGAGAAAGTCGGGGGAGGGGGGGAAATCCACTATCCAACGAAGTGGGGCTTGTCCGGTCTGCAGGGTACTCCAGTGGACTGATCTGCCAGGACTGGCCAGTCTCAAAGTACTCCAGAGGTGTGGTTAGTTTCTAAGGGACCACAGGGATTGTGGCCAGTATCCAGGAGACCTCGAGGGACGTGGTCAGTGTCCAAGGACCGCAGAAGGCATGGTCAGCCTCCAGGGCACCTCAGGGTGCGTGGCCAGTGTCCAGGGGACGTCGGGGGAGTGGTCCATCTCTAGAGACCTCAAGGGGACTAGACCATTTCCAGGAACATCAGGGGCCTGGCCAGTCTCCAACACCGCGGCATTCTGGACCAGCCTCCAAGCGCCCCAGCCATCTGCTCGCCGAGGCTTAGACGCGCAGCGGGGTCCAGGCAGCGGGGTCGCGCGCGCCTCCGGCCCAGCCTCCACCGCCTG